TTTCCATTCGTGTGTGTTTCTCATTATAGTTTACAGTTCAGTTGAATAATTAATAATCTTAAATTCCACTTTCAGATAACTACAATGTAATTCAGACTAGTCATAGTTCATGATATCTGACAGCAACATTCACGAGTTCAAACTTAATGTAAGGTATCTGGAATTGAGGAGAATTCAAGATATCTTGAACTTGAATTATAACTAGTCAGAATTAAATTGTAGATGTATGAACCTGGAATTATAGTCATGATTAAGTTGCAGATATATTTAATACGTATAGAAAGATAGCTTTGTACAAAAAAAAATCAATTATCAAAATACTTGGTAGTTGCATTCCTTGCTCCTTGATAATCAACCTTCAGTGAGTCTCTGTTAAGATTGTGCTAATATGATAATATGATTTTGTTCTCCAGGTGGTTTGAGACGCCATCTCAGGTGTTTTACCACGCAGCAATGCAACACGGTGGAAAGGATGTTTATGGAGGCCAGTGTCTGTGGGAGGGATGTGAACCTTTTCCCCGACAGAGACTGTCCTTCGTCACACATCTACAAGTGAGACCCCCACTTTCCCAGTTAGATCTGATGATACCATATCACTAAGACATTACAAGATGATAATGAAAAATGCTCTGCTCTTTGTTTCCCAGGATAAGCACTGTTCTCGAGAGGCTCTGTTGGCTGGACTCAAACTAGAAGAGCAACAGGCACAAAGTCCCAATCAGACTTCTTCCCAGTATGTACACATTTCTAAATAATTTCAAGTCAATGTTGATTCATGATTAAGATAATAAGATAAAGAAAATGTAGTTTAAATAATAGTTATAAGGAAATTTCACCTTTTTTTAGAAACCACAGCCAATTAGCACAGACCAAGTCAAAGTGCCAGAAATACAGCGTGACGATATCTGGGAAGAAATGTACTAATGGTGATATTTGACAAGTCCCACTAACGTGCGTGTCTGTGTGATTTGTTTTGAAGGACTCCACCAGTGGCAGGCAGTCCTCCGGCACAGCGAGCACCGAAAGCAATCGTCAATCATCCGAGCGCAGCTCTCATGGCCCTACGCAGAGGCTCTCGAAACCTGGTCTTCAGGGACTTCACTGTGAGTCAGACAGGGCTGACCACAACCACATTTCTGCCTTATAATTCACCCGCAGCCTTGTGTATGACTCATTAAGCTGTTGGTTAGTCAGGGTGGACATAAGCTGCTCTGAAGCTTTTAAATCCCACTGTTTCCATCACCTTCTGGTTCAAACACAGGTCGGGATAGACTGTTTTTGTATTTGGGGGAGTTTGGTCAGTTCCAGGTCCTCATTGGAATCATATTTGTAACTCTAACTTTGAAACATGTTTTTGTCAATTGGTCATTAGGCTGTATATGCAAATAAACAATTACATATCATGGCATATTATGAAAACTATTATAAGCATGTACAGTAACTTACAGTTAGAAAAAATAATGTTCATGTATACACACAAGTGTCTGTCGCTAACTGTAAAACCTACTGAACCACTGTCATCTATAAAACTGGAGTCCATGAATATATTTCTTGTTTTTTTCCTTGTCCTAGGATGAGAAAGAGGGACCAGTGACCAAACACATACGACTAACTGCTGCCTTAACGTTAAAGAACATCGCCAAGCACTCAGACTGTGGTCGCATGTAAGTTTCCAGCTGGTGTCTCTTGACTGTGGTGGTTTTGGGTGATTTTGAAAATCTCAAGACTTTATTGACTGATTAAGAACTAAGGCACCGTTAAAAAAACAAACCCTAAAACCAAACAACAACCTCAAAAGGGTTTTCCGAGGAGCTGACTGTATCGCTACGTTAAAAAAAATATCTCAGCCTCCAAAGCAGATAGAAGCACGTGACGTAAACATTTGGCTGTCATTGTAACTCGTTGCCTTAAACCAATAAAAACTATTTTGCAGGCGAACATATAAACCCTCGCCTTACTGCATTTTACCTTTTATGCAAGCATTCCAGAAAATCAGGATGCATTTCATCAGACACATAAACAACGGCCATGTGGATGAGATGCACATGCATCATCAAGTTTTAAAAGTAGACGCATGTATATGTTGCATCAAGTCCTAATGTGTTACCTTCTGATCATTTTAATTGCTAGTTACATACTGAACTCCATTACATTTGTAGGTGCATTCATATTTAATTTGCTAATTGGTGTTTGAATGAAGATGTCATTGTTTCTTCAATACTGTTACTTAAAGTTTGTGCTTTTCTCTCTCCTATTGTCTCAGGTTGGTAAAGAGGCATGAGACACACCTCTCTGTGCTCGCGCTAAGTAACATGGAGGTTTCCACCACGCTCGCCAAATGCCTTTATGAACTGACGCGCTCGCTCCAGGCTTAACGCCAAAAGGACAACCTCCACAAGCCCCTCACCCACCAACCCCATCCCTCTCCTGAGACGAGAGGGGGAAAAGCCACCGGTGAGCTGTAGCGGGTTACGGCGGGTCCACAGGGGAAGCAGAGGGTGGATCCGCAACAAAGAACCTCCTTCTGCTGCGCCTGCCACCTCCTCAACCCCCTTCACCTCCCTCCCAGCCAACCTGTGTTCCAAACGCCCCCTCCATCCACACACTCAAACACACACACAAAAAAACTGCCACGGGGGGTCTTCCACCAGCTGTCCACCAGGGGGCGCTCTTTACGACTGCTTCCCCAAGGGACTCTACCGCCGAAACCCCAAACACGAGCACATTTTGTTCAAGGTTTTTTTGTTTTTATTTTTTCTCTTCGTCCCGTGAACCGATGTGTGCGTTGGAGCGAGTGGCCGTCAACTGAAAGAGTACGGGTGGGCGGGGAGAGGGGGCGGGGCTATCATAGGCATCCCCCAGGGTTGAGTGGACTCAACAGGCAACTGGCGCAGAGATTTTTTTTCTTTAGAAACTTGGTAGCTTGGTTTTCTTACTTGAGTCAATATATTTTCACTTATTTATTATTGAAATGAATACCATTACAATTAATGAAAAGAATCTTGTAAATATGTTGTGAATATATATAAAGAAGATCCTCTTTCATGCCGATGCAGCCACTGGAGAACTTGCTCTGTGGAGTAATAGAAGCATTACTTTGGTAGGATTGAATAAAGTAGTATGTTTTTTTGTTTGTTTGTTTTTTTGCTTTTTTATGATCCCTGGTCACTTGTATCTAATGTGATTCTATACTCAGCAGTGGATGAATGTACTTAAAAACCTGTAAATAATTCTGCAAAGGTACTGATGCTGTAAAGCTTAGGGAGGGGGAAAACAGTTTTTTGTGGAACTGTGACATTTTTTGTATTATAATACCTTGTAGAACTCATTTTGCTGGCTGAAAGAGTATGGAATAATATATCTCATGTCATTTTGTAGAAGAAAAAAAATATTGAAGGTATTCTCTTTCCTTCCTCTTCCCTCACACACTCTCCCCCTCAACACGCACACACAAGTGACATATATCCACTGTAAGCGTTTTGTCATTGTACGGGCACAATGCGCGTACCAAAATTCTTTTGTATTTGTAAATTGGTTTAAATACATGGAGTTTTTATACAGGTTTTCTCCTGTGTTCTTTGCTTTACGTGCAGGTATGATATTTTCTTCACTACTTTTTTCTATCTTAATATAGTGTGGAGTTTTATTGTACTATTTTTTCATTCTTAATACCATGCCACATTCCGGCTCATGTCCTCAGACTGTCCTCTCTACCGTGTGTTGTGTAACATTTATGACTGCCTGTCGTATTAGCATCTGACCGGGGCGACCCAACCATCCTCATTTCTGCGGTGTCAGTAGGATGTGTGACTATACATAGACCTAACAGTCTGTTAGAGATTGGCTTTATTTACTTTGGTGACTGTTTATAGTTTTTAAATAAAACACTGAACATTTTGCTTTGGTTTTTCACTTGCTTCTTCTTTTTACCCCCACAAGCTTCTCCCACTTTCCTGATTTTTCATTGAAGCACATTCAGATATTCCAAATCAGGGGTGGGGGGGTGTTTAAAAGACTTGAGATTTGATTAAAAAATAAATTGATAATATTAAGCTTATGTAATATTAGGAATACCATGTGTTTTGAGTGCAAAACAACAGTGGTCTAAAATGCTAAAGGTCATAATTAAAAAGTGGAAAGAGCGGTATTTTTTTTTTAGCAGCCTTAATATTAAAGCACATTTTAAATATAACTCAGCCAAATTAATAAATTGTTTATATAACTAAAGGTAATGGATGGATGAAATTGTTAAATAATTCCTAGAGCTAAATGGTTCAAATAAACAACTTAAAGTAGTCAAATGGATAAAAGTATAATTAAAGGTAATAGATAAATGTTGAGTTAGTTGGCTAAAATACAAAGGTTTCAATATGGGCATTGATAAATGTATGCATTAGTCAAAATATAGCAAATGGTTAAAAATAAGTGGTTTAGATAAATGACTGAAGTAGCCAAATTGATCAAATACTTCTCTAAAGCTAATGGAAACATATAAATGGTAATTAATTACCCTAAATGGTTTCTCTGAGTTACCCAATTGTTAAATGGCTAAAATTAAAGCGTGAAGTGATGAATTAGGTTGTAAAAAGTAACTTAATGAATCAAATGTAATGAATATTGAGTAAAAAGTCAGATAAATGAATGGAATAACAATATATTTATATGTTCTCTCCATGTCTGTGTGGGTTTGCTTTCTTTCTCCCACAGTTTTAAAGATACCTGTTGTTAGGCTGATTGGCAAATCTACATTTCCAGTAGAGGGAGTGTGAGCATGAATAGATGATGGATGGATGGATGGATGAATCTGTCCTGTTTGATGAAAAACATGCATAAAGTTATAGAGACACTTTTGATTCTTGTTCTAAAACAAAACTTTAAAAATAGCATCTAAATCTAGCATCTAAACCTCTCCTCCTCTCCTCACCTCCTCTCCTCCTCTCCTCCTCTCCTCCTCTCCTCCACCTGTTGCTGTTGTAATAACACAAACGCCACCAGATGGACACTCGCCGCTGTTCCCTGTAATTCTCGGCGGGGCCGGTTGGTGTCGCCACCCGCAGCGACTCTCAGGCAGCCCGCGAGACATGTGGCTGAGACTTTCTGAAAGCTTCGCTCCGCTTTTAGCCCAAAACACTTCTGCGATAGTGCGAGTGATCGTCGCTTCGTAGCGGAGCTCTGGACTCTTAGAAACACTTCCCGAGCTGCAAACCAGCCGCAGTTGCACTCACAGGTGAGTAGCGACTCTTGTCACCAGCTAACTGGAGCTAAATGCTAGCGAGCTAAAAGCGACGTAGGCAGGTGCTGTTGTTCAAAGCGGCTAGCCAGCTAGCCCCCCCCAGCTAACTTGGCTGCTGCTGCTAGCCAGGCTAGCTAACTTGTGACCTTCATTGCAATCGCCGTAGCTAATATTAGACGCTATTTAGCCGTGTTTGCTGTCGTGCTAACAACAACCAGCTAGCTCCCAGGTAGCGGTTCAGCTAGCTGTAGCTGCCGGGCTAAGCGACAACAACCGTGTTGACACCGTCGTGTTGGCACTGGTTGATCAAGTTGGTGCTAATTTCATGTCTCCAGTAACCAGGCCGTGTTTGCCCAAACAGCACCAGGCATTCGCCGCTTTCTACCTGCAGACCCAACTCCTCTTTAATCCCAGCAGCCGTCTTTATCCACACAAGTTCCCATTAAGTGTTGATGTAACCCCGGGCTACATTCTGATGGAGGACTCCGGGTTTACAAGTGAGCCGGTTGTGTTAAATGGGCAGCGGCTGGTTGAGCTGACAGTTTGAGCACACGGCTGGAGACTGATGGCCTGTGTTGACTGGGACCATCTGAAGTGTTTCTGAAGTGCGGCCCGCTGGTTTCCTCCCTCCGGAGGCACTGCTCCGGATCTATTGTGTCGGTTTCACTTTGACGAATTAGTCGATCGTCACAAGCAAAGCCCGGATCAGCCATCAGAGGGTTTAAGTATCAGACACAGGACTCCTGCTCGGTGTGAGCCTGCTGCAGAGGTGTGATGGCGTGCTGGACTTGTGTTACTTCACTGTGACTGTGAGGGGAACATTAAAACATTTATTTCTGCACGTGTAATCCTAAAAAAATCACAACTGATCTCACACTTCACCTGATCACCAGTGTTATCAAGTTTAGTCACTGTTAAAGACACTGGTGCCTAATGAAGAGTGTTAAATAGTCAACTTGTATCATAAGAAAGTTACAAAATTCAACATTAAGGTTGCATCCACCAACACTTATAGATTCATCTGTATATGTAATATGTTTTTCTAATCCAGTTAACAGTTTAAATGATAAAGCATGTACATACTTTAAAATCCCCACCACCACAGCCTGGTCAATTAATCGACATGGAGAAGATATCAACCAAAATGAGCTTTCCACATATATATATATATATATATAGTATCAGCAATACCTGGCATTGTGATATTCATACTATAATACATACCATTTGATGGCCAGGATTTAAATCTGTTGCATTTAACCTTCCTGCATCTCCTTCTCTCTATTTTGTCTGTTTATTCAATAAAGGTTAGAACACATAATAGTGTAAAGGGCAGACCCTTGTATTTCTATAGATTAGTCTTGATGACTCAAAGCACGTTACAGTACTGTTACATCACAGTAGTTTGGTCATTCAGACTGAATGTATGTTCACTCGGCTAGACTATAAAACAATAGCGATAATTATCGCAATGTAACATTCCTACGATAGAAATTGAAGACATGGTGGATACAACGTCCAGCCATGTGTTGACAGACAACATGAACAGCCAATGAGAACAGCTCCGTGCCAAACCAATGATGTGGCTGGAATAGAGTTACAGCTACATCAGGTTAGGTTGACGCACACAGTGTAGGAGCAGCAGCAGCACATGTTAATGTTCCTGCATAGAGGTGGACGACTCTGGATCGATACAGTGACTGAACATAATCGATTCACATTTTCCGCTAGCTTCAATGACTGAGCTGGTTTCCATCGCTGAATAATTTTAACCACCGCTGCTTTAGGGATCAGGACAGACGCTCATTGAAGATCCGGTCGTCCTGTGTCAGAGTCCCTGTTGGAGTCTGCTTCCTCCTCACTCCCCCTCTGACCTGCACTCACTTTACACTTCAACAATAATCACCGTCACTAATCACAAGTTATTAGGATGCGTACAGTCCTGACAGTTACTTTGCGTTTGCTTGATTCGCTCGAGAATTTATGAGAAACATGAAACCAGAATTATGTATTTTTCACCTTTAGAAAAAGTGTAAAAAAACTAAGGTGTTTATTTGTCATCTTTTAATTTGCCCTCTCACTACATATCTTGATCACATTTTTACAACACATTTTAAGGCTCCTATCAAAAATGTTTGTTTTTACACAAAGTTAAAAATCAGTGTGATGATTATGCAATTTTAAAACTATTAATAATAAATAATTGTTGAGGAATTTTCTGTCATTGCGTATTTTGACTCATACTGTGATTGCGATGAGTCTCAATTTCAGTGTAATGTTTTGAATTTAATTTTGGCTGCAAAAAGCACTGAACATAACATGCTTGTTTATAAAATCGCACCACTGTGATTTGTAGACCTGGGAATTTCAGTACAAATGACAGTGCAATGACATTTGTGACAATTTAACCTTAAAAATAACAGTCCTTTGATTTTGATGTGGTTCATGGCAAAATTCCAATTTCAATAATATTTTGATAATTGTTGAGCCTTAACACACATCCAGTAACATATATAAATGGGAATCTAATGTAAGATACGTATTTTTTTGGGTTTAATTCATAGCTCAGTGTTGGAGTTCACTTGTTTTTAGCACCAGTGCTAAACTAGATCGATCTAATGTATGTGTATCTGTAATTATTCTTGCTGGTGACTGTATATTCACTTTGTGATAAATTATGATGTGCATCATGTACACCTCACAATCATTTAGCTTCTTCTTCCATGACTGAACAGGAGACGGTTTTCCTGTGCAGATGCTGTTCTTTCCTTCACTGCTCTGGTGAACAGATGATTTGCATTGAAAGTAATCGATGCAAATGCTTTATGAGCGTTTCTGAAAATAAGAAGGCTAGCAAGGCCTTTTTAAACTTTTTTTAGTGTTATAACCACAGGCCATGCTGACCAGTTGCAGTTCTTGTGGTCTCCATGTGGTATCTTTGTAGCCATAATATGAATAAAAATGTTAAGGTTGTGCACATGAGCCAAGCCTGCGGCATAGCTATGATGACTGTGTGTAGACTCTGTAACTGTTCTTAATGTGGCACTTAAAATCCAGCATGAGAGGCAGATAACTGGAGGAAGGCATGAGGTCAGAGTTGAAGTTTCCCCTCTGCCCTTAAGATACATGACTTTGTTGTCATGTAAACTGCAAGTAATATTATTAACATTGTGATTTTAAAAGTCATCAAGTGAAACTGGATATTCGATCTTCAGAGATGTAATCCATTAATATCGATTATAGGGCTGCACGTCATATCGAAAATGCAACTTCATCGTGATATCGACATGTGCGATATACGTATCATATAAGATTACTTGAACTGCAATAAGTGGTGTTCCATGTCAAATCAAATTTTATTAGTATAGCTCATATTCACAAATCACAATTTGTCTCATATGACAACACAAGGTGCTCTCTCTCTTTGTCTCTCTCTAATTATCACATAATGATTGGTACTTTTCTTAAGTTAGAGAGCAGCGCACGCATTCATCAGCTGTCCCGCTTGTTCTCTTCCCCTCACACACACACACACACACACACACACACACACACACACACACACAAATAGTGTGATCAGACACGTGTAAAATCAGACTGGGTAAAAACAACAGACTCTGTAAGCTTAGTCAATGTATGTAGAGGAGATGGCGACAGGCTCGGTTTGGTTTGACGCAGTTGGTGCAGTGCACAGCGGGAAATGATGTAGACACAGGGAGGAGCAGTAAATTACTGGCAGAGCCACTAAAAACTGTAAGAAAATAACTTTTCATGGTCCAAACAAGTGTGAAAAGACCCAAAATGAACACTGTGGGACTGAGTGGAGCTGTGTCTGGCTCCCTGGTGTCTGCCCTGGGCTTGGCACTGTGACTGGGCTGTGGAGCTGTCCGTGGTCCCTGCGTCTGTAGCCAAGTGGAATTTTGTTCAATAAAACCATGTTGTTGGAATGGAAATAATGCTAGTGTCTGCTAGCCTACTAACTGTATGGGGTCTATGTAAGCAGTGTAACCAGATCAGAAAGACTTTAACACCGTATACATAAGCATTTTATTATTTATCGCAAGTCATATCGTCATCGCAATATTCAACAATGTTATCACATGTTGCATGTTTTCCTTATAGCGTTTTACCCTGCACTCACACACTCAAACGCTGCTCATTCACTTGAATTGGCTGAAGTCAGGCAAAGCCAAACGGCATTGTTAGATGTAGTGCAGAGTTAAACTTTCCATGCTGCAGCGAAGGCAACATCCAGTCAAATTGTGTTTAATCAAATACTCGAGTAGGTGCGAGCCAATCCAAACACGTGAATATTAAAGAGGAGGCAGCTAGTGAACCTTGTGTAAGCTCATTTCTTTGTGGACACGCTTGTGCACACCAACTGTCAAGCATCAATCCATCAAATGCATGTGCGTCCTCCTTTAGAGGGGGTGCAACTGTACAAGTCAATGAGAAATCAAGACATAAGAAGATGCTGTATGAGGATGCATCAATTGCTCTCTTAAAAGCTCATACAGTTGTCATGTCCTCCTCACACACTCTCACATATTTACGTTTGCTTGGTAGCTAGTAGAGGCAAATGAGCAAACTGAGTCCAGCTGCTTCTGTGAGGTAGAAAGTTATGTCTGCTATGTGGGAATGTGGCACAGAAATCAGGGTTTTGCAGAAGCTGCTGGCGTTAGAGTTGGACAGTTAATCAATACCATTCAAACATCCCTGTTCTGCTTTGGAGTTCAGATCGGGGTCACAGTGGGATGAAGGATACACATGGTAGCAAGGTTACGTAGTATGATAGTATGAGGAGCTTGGAATTGGCACTGAAACCCAGTATCAAGCGTGTGTGCGTGCGTTGCTGTGATAATGCATTTCAATACATGACCTGATGTCCTTTTTGTATCTATACTGTCTTCTTAATTTCTTAATTCTCTTTGTGTTGTAGTGGTGAGCAGGACCGGACATGACTGGAGCCGGAAGCAGTGAGTAATGTTTTAGGCTCCTATTGTTTGATGTGTCATCTTTGAAAATATCCCATCTTATTCTGTCTCCTTCCATGTATGTTAGGCGGCCAGGGTCCGCCTGATGGGACGGATACTGAGGAGGCGGAGAGGTGTCCTATCTGCTTGGGCGTCCTGGCCGGAGGCGAGCTCGCCATGCCAGACAGCTGCTGTCATGTCTTCTGCCTCAGATGCCTCCTCACATGGGCAGAGGTAAAGAAGCTGTGCATTAGCATTGAGCTGAATAGTGACCAAAAAGCATAAAAGTAATGGGAGGGATTTTGTTTCTACTACTGTTTATTAGAATCCAACACACATCATTGGCTTTTAAAATTGTGGTGTGGGATTACACAATATAAAGCCTGTAGCAATCAACAATGCCTGCCTTGTTTATCAGCTCATTTGTGAAATACATTTTTTTGTATAACCCAAAATCATAAAGTGGATTAGAAGAGCTTATTGTCATTGTTTGTTTTTTAAGCTGTATGCATCTTATATTACCATGTTCAAATTTGGATGTGTTTTACTTTGAAGTTACAGATGGCTCCTTCCTGTCCAGTGGACAGAAGACCTTTCACTAATGTTTACAGATGGGATGGGAATCTGAGCTGTGTGCAGGTCAGTCTGATTTATATCTGCACCTTCTCTGTCATAGTTTAAGATACCAGGGCTGCTGGTGTTTTCTGTAATCCAACTTAATATAACAAAGTGTTTACCTGCTCTGTAAAGTCAATATTCCCTGGCCTGTTTTCAGGAAAAAATGTTCTCACTGACTCCCACACTTGCATTGTGTCCCTGTGCTCCAGCCATGCCAGCAAACTGTTGTACATTTTTCCCCCAAAAACACATGTGCATCTGTCCTTGCTGTTTAAAGGTTCCTGTGAGGAAGAGAACAACTCAGCTTGAAGCTGAAATTTGCTGCTGTAGAAACCCTGAACAAAAAGTCTGTCTCAAGTGAGTATTAGCTTTTTAAAATGGAATCATAAGGTGTTATAGTCCCTTTTTTAAGCCATTGGAATTGGGGACGTTTTAGGATATTTAGATTGATTTTCAAGCAGTGTACTTTGGAAACTAGTCCCTGAACAATGTAGGTGTTGTTTTGTTTTCAGAAGTAAACCTCCAAGAAGATTGAGACGGCAAAAAGCAGAGAGGACGGCAGATGCCATAACAAAAGGACTTGTGAGGAAATGTATGTCAAAACCCTTCTTCCTTCATTAACGTGTCCTACTCACATGTCTTCAGCAAGATCTAACTTGTCTGTAAATGCCTGTTCCAGGTAACGATGAAGACCCCTCGTCTCTGAGCAGAAAAAAGGTACATTTCATTTTTTCATTTCATTGTCTTAAATGCACGTTGGTTGACTTTTACTTCAATGTTAATGCCATCGATGTTTGTATTTCCTCTAGGTGCGAGGAACAGAGTGCTGCACTTGGTCACCATCTCCCTGTGTCTCAACCACACCATCACAGGACATGTAAGTCACACGTCCCTAAATGAATGTGTTATTATGGTATGTAATATATATTATGATAAATGATGACAAGTATAGTAATTCTGTGTGTGTCTGGACTAAAGTCCTGTAGTGTGGTCTAGTTGTGAGACGAAACAATAACCTGGTGTTCAGAGAGGTCATTAGGTCAGGAGAGCAGTGCGTTTTAACCAGGCCCCCTGCTGGAATACGAGAAACATTGCCTCCAATGGTCTATTGGCATTTGAACATAATATTCCATAAATCACTTATTTCATTTATCTTGCCAACTGCATGCACATCTGCCATCCGTGTCAAACATTGACATAACTAACGAAGCAGCAAGTCTATATTTCTCTTTCACAATTGTTGCATGTTTAAAAATCCACATTGTGTCAGAAAACTTTTGTTCATACTAAAAGTTTTTGGAGCAGGTTTGATGTGCTGCGTTTTTTTGGCATTTTTCATAGGCTGGATCACAGGAATTAGTTTTCTTCTGTTTAATATGGCGCCTCAGTGCTGGCAGCATATCAAACCGGACCCCTGCTATCTTGAAATAGACTTTAAGGCGATAGAGATAATTTTGCAGCTCCTTAATCTGATGAAATTCTGCTTGTTCCTCGTGGTTTTTCATGATTGGATATCAGAATTACTTATAAGTCATAACAACAAAATCATCCTCACTGCTCAACACCATTTTATCTCCTCCTGTGAATTTTCAGGATGACTAATAAAACACATAGGACTAAGTGCGCGTGAGGATTTTTATTTGATGATGGATTTAAAAACACATACCCGAGATGAAACGGTTACAGTTTTTTTTACAATTAACCACAGTAAAATTCCCATCGGATTAGTTTAACCTTGTGAAATGTAAATGATCATATAAACACAGTTTATTACATCATGTCAAAAACTTGTCCAAGCTCAACCACTAAAGAATACATAAGGTGCAGCTGGATCATTTGTGAAGAACGTCATAAAAACAACAACTTCTTGTCATGTCCCTGCAGTGCAGAGCCTGTTTGGGTGACAGAGGAGATACCTTACGATGCTGGTTTCACACCCTGCAAACCCAAAGTGCAAGAGTGTCCGTGGCTGACTCCTGCTGCTCCCATCCCTGTCAATGGCACCTCAAGGTAATGAAATCTCACCTGATCTCGCTCTGGAGCCACAGATTACACAGTACAGCTGTACAGAGGACTGGTCAAGCAAATTCCAAGCAATTTGGAAGCAGTTTTCTCTTTAATGTCCAGAGCAGAATCATTTCAGTTCAACTTTTGTGGCACCAGTATAGATGCACAGATGTGAGGAAAATAAAAGTCTGTCTCCTGTTTTTCCACTGTTCAGTTATTCAAATGTTTGACAATGAGTCACCCAAACTGCAGTTGTTTGAAAACCACAGAGGAGAGCTGATTCTCTGCTTCAGTACAGAGAAGCACATTTTGTTTGTGAACACAGTTTTTGGACTCACATTGATTAGTAATCAGCATCAGGACTTTGGAGGCACAGTATCAGTAACGAAGGGATGATGATGAAATAATAGGAAATGAACAAACATTATCAACAGCTAGGTTTTTATAAATTCAGCCACTGATGGAATGTCTGGCACCACATTTACTCTTGTCTCTGTTTTACAGGCGGAGTTTCCATCCTGCAAGTTGGAACCACAGCCCATTTCCATTTGGACTCTGCTCATCTCCCTTGACCTCCAGCTCAGTGTTCAGCCCCGGACATTTTGGTGAGTCACGTCTGAGACATTGTGAAAATCATTGGAGTTAACTGTGTACAATTTTACCAAGAGACAGAGATTTTGGTTGTCATTTTAAAAGTGCATTTAAATAGCTGCTGTAGTTTATTGACCTCGGCACACCTCCTACATGCGCTGCTTGATTCAAGTGCTGAAGGTCCTGGTTCAAAAAACGATTAAATAATTGATATGGCATGAATGAAATATTAATTTGGGAGTTTGACGTGAAAAGATCAGCCAGATGAGAAGATAGATCACTTTGTTGGAGTTGTTAGATCTACAGAAAATGAGTTGCAGAGTGAAGCGTCTTCCCTCACAAAGGCTCCTTGATAGAGTACGAGTCACCATCAAGCTACATTACCCTTTAATTAGCGATGGCTGACATAAACTCAGCTATTCCAACTTGAGTCTGTGAAAGTGCCAGTCAGCATCAGCTAAAAACAGGAATCTGAATGTTTGTACATGGCTCTTGTTTGCCAATTAAAAGAGAGACGGTTGCCATGTCCCAATTCCTCTCCCATGGCTTCCCTAGATAAGAAGTGTCCTTCACTGTAAGTGTCCCCCTCCAAACGGAGCCATAAGGGGGAGGGGAAGAAATCCTCCCCTAGGAATTGGGAGACCACTTGCTACATCATAAGCATCCAACCATGTTATTATATCAACAACTGTTATCAACCAAGATTATAGTGACACATCTGACGGGACAGATAAATACACCGTCAGTCAATCATTGGTTATTTTAATGTTACATTAGTCCTGTCCAAATAAACTTCTGCTTCCGCACTGAAACGTTATAACTTCAAACTTCTTGTACAGGACAGAGGAGTCATGACCATACTTGTTACTCTCACTCAGACTGTTCTCATGCTTGTTTAGGTTAGAGTGGCAAAGAAGTGATTTCTAGGGAAAGAAAACATTTTATCTGGGTGAAACTAATATACTTTAAAGACGTGTTATCAGTTTTGTTGATCTTAAACAAATCATTGTTTCTGCCTGTAAACACAGTTGGGTTTTTGATCATATGACTTCTTTCCCACAGTGTTTGAGGGTGTTGTCTGCGCCATCACATGTCCCAAAGGAGGAGAGAAGAGAGGCAGCCGTGCCTCAACCTCCAAAGCGCCCACCAAAGAGGCAGAGTCTGTACCGACCAGACGATCCGGACGCAACAGTAAAACCCAGGAAGAGACTCCAGCGACTGACCCCTCATCGCCGCCTCAGTCCAGCTCATCAGACTCTGACTCATCTAACAACAACCAGACTGCCAAGCCAGCCAAGACTTCTCAGGCACCGGCCAAGAGGAAGGTGACAAACCGAAAGGCCAGCGGCAAGCGGAAAGCCGCGGCAAGAAAAAAGCGCTCTCCCGAACCCATTAGCAGTCTGGCCGCTAGTGAGGGGGAAGAAGATGCTGACGGAGTTGACAACAAGGAGAAGGAGGAGGACGAAGAAGACAAAAGTGATAAAGAGCCGGATACAAACATATCAGAGCAGCAGCAGTCTGATACTGAAGGGAGCCTCAGTGCCGACCAGGACGGTGTCAACTCTGCTGACGTGCAAGTAAGTGCAGAATCTCTGAGTAACGACGCGGCACAGGACAGTGATGACACTCAGGAACCACCTCATGAACAAGAAGAGAAGCCAGATGAGGACGATGACGAGCCGTATTACCCCCCTGACTTGTCTGCTAACAGCCCCAGTTCATGTTCCGAGGGCGACGAGAGCAAAAAAGATGAGGAAGAGCCAGCCAGCCCAGTTTCCTCTGTAGACAAGTACTCTGAGAAAACTCCTTCACCCTCTGACTCTCACAACGCTCTGCTGGAAGACCTGACGTCTCCATGCTGTGATGAGCAAACAGGGCAGGATGATGAAATGGAGATTTCAGAGTCCGAAGAAGCCAAGGAAGCAAAGGCTGACTCGTTTGAAAACTTGTCAGAACCTGGCTCGCCCCCTGCTGGGGATTCACAGGATGTTCTAGCTGACCCTGGAGCGAAAGCTTCTGAAGACACTGTCTCTAAAACGCTTGTAACAGAAGAGCAGTCAGTCGGTGACAGTTCTGGGGAAGAAACCAAGGATGACGGTCCCTCCAAGGATGACACTAATGTAATCCCCATGGACTGTAGTTCACCCATGAGTGACCATGGTAACGGTGCCATTTTGGATCTGCCAAAGGAGAGTGCTGACCCAGCTGATGCGGGAGCCCCTCCTTCTGAAAGCCAAGTCACCAAGGACGAGAGCCACAAGGACCAACAGGAGAGGGAAAAGAGCCCGGAGAGGAAGAACGGCAGGCAGCGGCGCTCTCGCTTCCACTCCCCGACCTCCACCTGGTCACCTAAGAGGGAGTCCAAACGTGAATCATCCAGGCGCTCACGCTCACGGTCTAGAGAGCGGGATGGCAGCCCGCCTTCCGGCCACTCGTCCCGGGCTCGCAGCAGAGAAAGAGACAGGGACAGGGATGGCGAGAGAGACTATTCTAGGAGGGAGCGTAGTCATGAAAGGAGGAGACGGCGATCGAGGAGTCGCTCTAAATCCAGGTCCCGCTCTCGGTCCAGGTCCAGATCCAGAACAAGGTCTTACAGACGGGGGCCCAGCCCCGAATGGCCAAACTCCAGAGAGCAGTCTCCACAGAAGAAGGAGCGCAGAGGCGGATGGAGGCCAGGACAGGGTGGTGGGTCAGGTAGTGAGGGACGGAGGTATCACGGAGGCGCTGGCCGCTTAGAAAATGGTGTGCCTACCGAAGGTTCCCCTGATCGCCAGGCCTGGTCAGATAATCCTGACTGGGTTACAGAAAAGACTCGCGGGGAAGCTGAAAGCAAAAACCGGGATGCTGGTTTTAGCGGCGGCTCACGCTGGGAAGACAACCGCAACAGTGGTGGGAACAGAGGAGAGACACGTGGCAGGGGGGGCCGGGGAGGTGTTGAACGGGGGCGGGGTGCCGGGCGGGGCGGTGGCAGCCGTAGCTTTTACAATCAGCAGGAGGAAACGGGCGATAATCGCTGGCCCAGAAATAACTTCTCAGGTACAGGCAACAATTCAGGGAATGATGCATACAGCCGCTTCAACGAAAACCGAGGGGGTGGCCGGAGAAAAGACATGGATCCAACTGACTCTATGCTCGATCGGTCGGGGTGGTCATCAGCATCCAGCTGGGCTGTCAGGAGAACGCTTCCTGCGGACGTCCAGGACTATTACTCAAAAAGGGAGAGGGGAGGAGCAGGAGGCTGGAACAGATCAGAGGAGGAGCAGCCAGCAGCAGCAGCAGCAGGAGCAGGTGAAGCATCCTCAGTCTTTGTTGGTTATCACTCCCAAAACACTAAAACACTCCTGCTCGAGAAAACTTTTCAAAAAGCAGGCCATGAATCAGCCAACTTTCCTTCTAAAATAGAAGCAGTAGTCGTGTCTTTGATGCTCAGAGAGG